GATGCGGCGGCGGCGCGCGGAGGTCGGCCGGGCGGTCCTCGCAGGGGTTAAATGCCTTCAAAGGGTCGGGCAGGGCTACCTCGCGCGACGCGCGCTTGGGCAGCGGCGGTGGGCTGAGATGGTCGAGCGAACAACGGCAGAGGCGGAACGCATCGCCTATCGAACCCACGCCGCAGAAACGGTGCAGGAATTTATCCGAGCCCGAGAAAGTAGTTGCCTCACGGAGCAGCGGCGCCGGAGAAAGTACCTTGAGACTGTCCAGCTTCAGGCCATTGTGCGGGAAGAGCTTAGACGCGAGGCGGCCGCCACGAGTCTTCAACGCGCCATCCGGCGGCACTGGCGTCGACAGGCCGAACAAAAGGCCCAACAGGAAGCTGCTCGTGCGCGGGCGTGGGTGCTGCGAGTCGTCGTACAACTCCAGTCGTGGTGGAGAGTCTGCTTGGCTAAGCGGGAAAGCGCGTGCCGTCGTGCGCAGGTCGCTTGGCTCACCCGAAAACGTCTAGAACTCGAGGATGTTCGTGTCCTTATGGAGGAGGAGCTAATGGAAAAAGGCGCACAACATTTGTTCTACTATCACGAAAGTGGGCGCACGCGTGACTCGCCCATCGCTCCTCACCAAAATGGGGTTAAAGAAGAAACGGAAGAAATTAATGCTATGCTCGATGATTCTTGGGCTAAAATTTACGAGGATGAGGAGATCCAATCATAGCTCCACCTTGTGCGTTGAGTTCCGGTTGACCTGGAGAGAGAGAGAGGGGTACAAAGGGAGGGACAACATCAATCCGCACCCTACCTCTCTCTTCTCTTTAACACGATATGCTTAGGTTCGGAAATATATATACATGCATAGTGAACTAGTGCAACTCCCTTCTTTAGAGGATAGGTGTGGCCACGGAAATGGTGGCAGTGTTGGTGTTTGGGGAGCAAGGGGCATTTTGGGATTTGGCAAGTATGTTCATGTAGACAATAATGTTAAGCACTGCAACTTTCATTGTATATGTAAACTGTTAGAGTAGCATCGATGTAAATTTTTCCCCCTATTGCCTTGGGTTGTAGGACGCCCAAAGGCTTTATCTTGTTGCTTTTTTTGTCCTTTCCGCTGTTGCGGGAGCTCTCTGACCATGCGGCTGGTAGTATGCAAGGATGCAATATAAGTCTATGGAATATTTTTCCATCCATATGAATGTCTCCCTCCTGCCCTTTCGATGGACTATGTGTTCGAGTAATGCAATGGGGGGATGGCATCGGCTTCACCAATGATTTACTTTTGTTTTGTCCACCCTTTTCATAGATATACACATAACGAATCTCTATCATACGCAATAAAATAATACACTAAGAAAAAAATGTCTATTTCCGCAGAAGGTGCTCAGTTCCTAGAGCAGGTAGACCAGAAACCGGATGTGCATCGCCTCCCTAGTGGGATGAGGTTCAAAATTATCACGAAGCCTCAAAACGTTAACAACGCAAAGTCACCGACAGTGGCCGACAACTGCTCCGTACACTACCATGGCACTTTAACCAACGGCAAAGTGTTCGACTCCTCGATGGAACGAGGCAAACCCACGACTTTTGCGCCTAATCAAGTCATTAAGGGTTGGACGGAAGCCCTGCAGTATATGGTGGAAGGTGAAGAGTGGGAGGTGTATCTACCCCCAAATTTGGCGTACGGCTCCCGCGGCGCCGCAGGCGTCATTCCGCCCGATGCGACTTTGATTTTTAAAATCCGTCTGCTAAAGGTGCTACAGGGCGGCAAAAACGGCAGCGTGGCACACGAAAATCTTGAAAAGGCCATTGGTAAGAGCTACCCAGATTTGTGATATATATATATATATATATATAATTCTATTTATTTGCAAACATAAGTTGTTTATTGGCTAAAAAAAGTAAAGTGATAGCAATAATAAAAACCTTGCATCAATGTGCTTTCACCATAAACATACAATCGATTGGATCCTTTATTCTGTCTCCTGAAAAGTAAAGTCTTCTACCCAGTTTTTTTTTTCAGTGATTGCCTGTATGGGGGATCGGAATAGTCGTTGTGCTAGTCAAGTTTATTACTATGAATCTTTCTCGAGGACTCTCTATTTTTAAGCTTCAGTATGTGAAACGGAAAAATGAAAGAGAATGCTGATAGTATGTTAAACTGAATCAAGGATTAAATAGATGTTTTCAATAAAAGAAGGCAAGATGGGAAAGCTGGTCAAGTGTATGAAAATGGCAATGGTAAAGCGAAATTTATTGAAGATGTTATGCTATTTACTATATCCACACATGAGGATAGCATAAACTATGTTTCAATATAGTTGATATTTCCTTACTGGTATGTCAGTACTCTCCCCTGTGGTTTTCATCGTTATTTATGCATTCTTTGTCTTTATTTTATTTCTTACATCTTTGGTCACTTCCTGGCCTTTCCCTTTGCATCTGCCTACCTAGAGGGAATCAAGATAAACGTCTCAATTTATAGCACGCAGAATAGCTGACCTTCCTATCTGACAGGGGTCCTGATTTCTGCTTTTTGATTCCTCTCCTAAATTCATATTAAAAGGGGTAAAAACTCCAGTTCACAGTGTATGTCTAATATAGCTTCTCACATACACATAAACTCAAAAAGGAAAGAAGTATATTTTGCAGTTGTAGGTTTTGTTAGTTAGCCGTCTAAACGTTAAAAAAAAATTGCTGCTTCGATTGGTATATACATAGATAGAAATAGATATACTTGTACCTTTACTAGTCTTATTTGGTTTTGAATTAATTTTTTTGGTCGCACGCGCCCGATATTGCAGGGCCTACAACCCTCAGCCAATCCTTTAAAACTGGCGTAGCGCGTTGCAAATACGAATACCTTTACCAGGCTTAAGCTCAGTACTTGATAGGTAAAGCGGAAATTTTTTTGTTTCTATAATTTAGACATCTGATCATTGAAGAAGGCTTCCTGACGAAAGGAGTATGCAAGTTCTTTTTAGTGAGCGCCGTGTACGTGATGCGCTGTCCTCTCCTAGCCCCTTCACACGGTCAAATAGGAATGATTCGAACGGTGGTGTTAGTAGTGGTGGCGGTGATATCTGTGATGCCACTGGAAGTCATGCAAATTTGGAAAGTGGCAGGAAATCTAAAACGGGACCGATTTGTGGTCTCGCCGTGTCGAGATCTCGAGCATTTCATGGTGCCCAGCGAAAGCAGCGTGCGGAAGAGAAAGGAGGCATGAACCATACCGATAGTCAAATTCTTTCCGAAGCAAGAAACCAGCGCACATTCAGAAAGAAGTGGACTAACTATGATAAAGTAAAGAACACATCAGAAGGTGTCCGGGACGGTGCTTCATATTCTTCCTTGATCCTAAATCAAGCTGATAATACTGATAATAAAACCGGGGATTTGGAATTAGCAAATCATCCAGATACCGGTTGCCCCAGAAACCCAACAGTAGCGACTCGTGTGGCGGCGGGGAATTCATCCTCGCGTGGTACAAACGGCAGTAACTGCAGCTTAAGTAATATTCAAGAGGACCTAGAGGTGATCCTAGCCCTGCAAGCTCAACGGCTGCATGCGGCGGAAAAGGTAGCCACTATCGCGTCTATGACTCCCCGGCCCAGTTCTTCGGTGGGCTCGCGCCATGTTAACCGAAAAAATAACAAATCGGGACCCAAAGAAGGGCGTCATTCTCGTCTAGACATGACCAAGGCCGGTCGGCTGCGCGGTCCCGAACCGGTTGCGGAACCCGCAACGTCCATGAACCGTGCGTTGAGCCCACGATGGCGGGGAGGGAATTCGTACAGACACGAAACCGCGCGTCTGCGGAAAGGCGACCCCCTTTTGGTGCCCCGGCATGTCGGACCCCGTCCAGACACCGCCCAACAAGTGAGGGCGCCTCTTCCGGAATGCAGCGATGCCAAGAGCGAAGACTTCTTTCTCGCCCAGGTGCGGCATCAGCAGCGGCAGCACCGTGAGGTGCTCCGCCGCCGGGCCGAGCAGTACCCAGGGTGGTCCCCGGATGACGTGCGGCTGTCCAAACTCTTTGATACCGTCTCGGACGAGCTCCATTCGACGCACGGCGTGGGTGTGTCCCCGGTGGACTCCGATATCAGTTCGAACCCACGGAAGGGGAACCGCAAGAAAGTGCGTCTGCGCCTCAACCCCGGACGCGAACGTGCGATGTTTGTCTCGATGACCCGACCCGTCACGAATCCGATGAACCCCGCCTCGTGGTCGACCTCCACGCGGCCGCCCGCCCATCCCCCCTCCCCACAACCCGCGCGATGGATCCTTGCGAAGGCCGCGCGTGAGGCCGGTGGGGAGGGGCTCCCCCCCCCCCCTGAGGTCGATCTCGAGGTGATGGAGGCCCTCGAGCGCGCCGCCGGCGACGGCGGCTT